ACCTCTCTGGAGGAGGAGAGAGCGGGAGACGCCTCGGTCCTTAGCGGCTTTCTCCTCAGACTCTGCACCCTGCCCGCCAGCTCCCTGCGTCCCGGCTCCGTGTGTTAAGCCGCCTGGCTGTAGGGACATGAGTGGGTGGGACGACCTTTATCCGCTCCCAATGCTGCCCTCCTGGGTACTGGGGTCAGCCGCCGGGATTGTCTCCTTGCACCTCATCCAGAAACTACTCTTCCCCTACTTCTGGGCTGACCTGAGATACCTGCTGAAAGTATCGATGTATGGGCTGAGAATGGAGATGTACCGGCTGCAAGGGAGGATTGTCACCGTCCTGGACAAGTTTGTGAAGCTGGCTGAGAAGCAGCCCCACAAGCCATTCCTCATCTATGAAGGGAAGGTGCACACCTACCGGGATGTGGACAGGAGGAGTAACAGGATAGCGCAGGTCTTCCTACACCATGGGGCTCTGAAGAAGGGCGACACAGTGGCCTTGCTGATGGGCAACGAGCCAGACTTCATCCATGTGTGGTTCGGGCTGGCCAAGTTGGGCTGCGTGGTGGCTTTCCTCAACTTCAATGTCCGCTCTAGATCTCTCCTACACTGTGTCAGTAGCTGTGAGCCCAAGATACTGGTTGTGGGAGCAGGTAGAGTATACACCTAATTCATACATCCAAAGCTTTTAATGTCACCTGTCCCCGGTATATGTTTCTCCAGCTCCTTTATTGAAAACCTGATTTTCAGATGTTCACAGAATGAAAGAAACCTAGGGCTAGACGTGGCTTCAAGAGATCACAAAACTTAAGTCTCTCAGGCATAATCAAATGTATCCATGCTTTGGGAACATCCATTTAACCTTTTCTTAAAAAAGGTGCATTGCAAGAAAGTTTCTAACATCTAAGTACAGCCTGTTCCAAGCGTTTAATTGCTTCAGTAGTTGCTTAATGTGTCTCAGAAAAGATAAAAATGATCTATTAAGAATAATTTCCCATTCCTTTTGAAATACTCAATTTTAATCTTATTTAAGTCATGTACTTTCTTCTCCTGCACTATCTCCCCATCTTTCTAGTGATCTAAAACACTGCAAACTAGAAGGTCTAAGCTCAGACTGTACAAGCGCTGCTGTACAACTGTTCATAGGGATATGATACTCTTCCAGGGACTAAAATTGAGAGGATTTTAACAGCTGTAGTACATAAAATGGTTGATTGGTAATAACCAACTTACTGTTGGCGTTCAGTTGTAGAAGAAATTGCTGTGTTTCAATAGGAGATAATACTGTGTGTTGTGTAAGTTTCCAAAGTATTACATTTTTATTAAGTGCTTCAAAAGAATTTAAAATCTTGAGGTAGGCATCCTGTGCATTGTATATTCAAATTGGGCTTCAATTATAGAGATCTGTAAACTGAAGACAGATCCGAAACCTAGATTTGCCTCAGCATTCACGGTCAAGTGCAAGTGAACCTGCAATGCTAAAAGATCACACAGAACTTTGACATTTGGTTGGAGGAGGATATTTCAAAATATTAAATATTAATGTTGCCCTGCCTCTCTAAAGTTACTAATTCAAGTCTACTCTGCCTTATTTCTATTTCACAACTTATTCCTGTTATACAGGTTGTGTGGTTTTACATCCATGACACCTAAATGGTGGAATTTCCTTCCATCTGTTCTCTGCTGATGCAAATTTGTGCTTTCAAAAATGTATTTCAAGATTTTTCCCTTGCATATTTTTTAATTATAAATTATGTCATTCTGATTGTATGTGGTATGCTGGTTTAAGAATGCTTGGTAATTAAAACAGGCTAATGAAACAACAGCCAGTTTAAATATAATCCCAAACCACATGATAACAGTGCTTCTGAACTGACAGTTTTTAATTTTGCCTTCTTACTTAATAAAGAAAAAAATCTCATTTAACACCCTCTCATGAATATGTGCGTTTGAGTGTATGGTTTGAGGAATGGAATTAATGTTCAGGAAATTCTTGCTCATTGGCTGTGGTGAAGGAGAACTTTGGATCAAAACTTGTGTCTAACAGTAGTCTTTATTAAAATGAGAGGATAACTAATAAATGAAAAAAGCATTTGCAAAGCAGGAACGGGGTCCGTGTTTCTCCACTCAATTTGTTACCAGCAGCTGATAGTAAGAGCGACTGTGTTGAACTAACTTGTTGTAGGAGTCTGTCTTTGCTCACAAAAGAAGAGCTATATGCAGGCAGATAATACAACAGAGATACCAACAAATTAGTCTCTGAGCTGGTCTTTTATGTGTTCGTCTTCTTACTTTGTTCGTGAGCTTTAATCTCTGCATTAAGTTTGTCAGTCCCTGGAGCCGGCAAGGCTACAGTATTCTTCTTTGGGACTTGGAGGCTCTTTTTTATCTATATCTGTGAAAAGAAGTTGAAGTTCTGTTATGTCCTTGTTTATTGGCCACGTCATATAGAAAAGGAGCCTCTCCAAAGGAGTCCAGGTTTTGCAACTGGAGGTTCAGGTACCGTTCAGTGACTGTGAGGACTAACTCATACCACTCTTGAAACAAAAGCATATCATACATAATTATTGTACATAATAATTTCCCCCTAATGTTTATAAAAATTACAGGGTAGTATTTAACACTGAGGTTACACAGTCAGTTAGATAATTCTTAGAGGTCTCTTAAACATCTTTTTGTACAGTGTTAGTGTGTGTTTCAAGGGATTCTTCTTTATCAGTAGGCATGACTTGAACTTTCTTGTGTGTTTTGCTCTTGTGGCACCATTTTCCACAGGACTGTGCATAGTTTGATCATAGTATTTTTTTTTTTTTTTTTGCAAAATATTTACACTGAAAACAATCAGCCTGTGGTCGAATATCTATCATTGTCATAGTCAGGCATCATGTTTGGCAACTAAGATTCTTTAGTCAGAGATTAGTATGTAATAGTAGTATTTCTGGATCGTGGAAATTCTAATTTTCAAAAACATGTAGGTTTTTCACCCTCCACAAACAGATACAGGCTTGACTTACCAATTCCATTTCTTGTAATAGTTACAAAACTATCTTTTCAATATTTTGGATGACCTTCGATCTTGTTCATAGACTGCAGCACTGTAGAAATCATCCCCTTAAGAATTTGACCATTAACTGCCTGTGCTCAGCAAGGCCAAATTTGCTCTTGAAAGTCTTGTCTCTAATGGCACATTAAATCAGGAACCTGTATTCAAATCCATTTAATATTAAAGTTTCCTTTGTGCTGAAGGGAACCTTCCACCTTCTGCTGAAACTGGAAAAGTTCCCACAAATAATTGTTTATTGCTAAATCTTCCCTACTCAGAATGGTGATGTAGCCTTCCTCTGCATGAGATGATTGCATCTTGCAGCAATCATCTTGGTACATCTTTTGGTACATCTTGTCATTTTTCCAAAATGCTTTTATTTTTTACAAATGTGATACTGCTATCCAAACAGAGTATGATTTGTGGTTGCATTTTTTTCCACGCCTTGTTCAGGCTTTCATGCTGCCTCTTGCAAGGTAACTCTCATTTGTGGAATTTGTACTCTTCAGTTTTGTTTTGTGCCTGCGTATTTTTCAGATGTCGTGGTTTGGTAACCTGGTCCAATTAGTATCATCTTGTCTTTCCTTCAGCACTTGCAATCAGGCTTTCTTCTGGTCTTACAATTCTGTGGTATTTTCATTGCTTTTTCTAACTTGAGATGGGAGTCTTCCAACTTAAGGTTTTGGGGTTTGGTTTTGACTTATACATTCTATGAACTCTGTGCAATTGAATGTTTTATTCTTAAGCCTCAGATATGTTATAAAAACATCAAAATTTCTCCCTCTTGTTGGTTTCTTATATGAAATGGGTATCTCTAAAAAGTTGAATTTTTTCTATGACAGCAATGTTCTTTTAATTCATTTAGCACAATCTAGTAACTTGTTTTTTTCCTTCTCATCCAACCACAGGCTGTAAAGCAAATATAGATTCTCTGATTTGCCAATATTTAGACTTTGTGTTCCTTTCCAGTATTTTCACTTGCCTTTGTGGCAGAGAGAGAGTTTTTGCTTTAGCTACTTTCATTTGTCTGCTGTGTTCCCAAAGGGTTTAGCTCTTGCTTCAATTTGTTAGGTAACATTCTCACACTTCCATTCCCAGAAACACTGTCTACCACCACTCCCATTCTGGGGAATGTTTGTTGAAAGAAGTTCAAAAGTTGGAGTTTAAAAATGCATTTTTAATAAAACAGCAGTTAATGAACATGTAAGTAAACGAGGAACTTGTAAAGGAGAAAAAAAGAAGCTGTATGCCTTTCTGTCTGTCAGACTGCCAGCATTAGCTTACTCTAACAGCAATCTGATGTGTTTAAAAGGTATTCGTCTTTACTTCATTTGTTTCCAGATTATGCCACCCTTATTCATTTAAAAACTACTGGTTAAACAGAGGAGTAAGGTACTGCTTAAAATGAAGGCACCTTTTAAGGCACTGTGTCCTTTCTAGGGAATATTTCTATTTATTGGAGTCTTGCTTGAACAAGGGATTACATTTTATCTTTTGGACAGTACCTGTGTAACAGCAATACAATCAAAAAACACTTACAATCTAGTGACCCACCAGAAAGGCACAAATGGAATTTGCCAGTGCATTTATAGTGTGTTCCTACTCGGAAGAGTTCAGCTCTTAGTAGGACATCCCAGATTGCCATCATGACTTCTGATGCAAGGATTCAACTGTGAAAGGATTGCATTACTAAACTCCATGAGATTGGTTTACATCAGTCCTGATAGCAAAGGCTGTTCAGGGAGTGTACATGGCGCATGAACACGTGTGGGCTGCCTGCTCTACATGGGCCTGCTTGAGCAGGGGTGTTGGACCAAGATGACCTCCAGAGGTCCCTTCCCACCACAGCCATTCTGTGATTCTGCAATTCTGTACAGAATTACATCTCCCAGCTGTGCAAGTATAGCATTTTCCTGGCCAGAGTTCTTTACTCTTGAGGCATCAGCAGTGCTTTCTGCTGCTGCAGAGTGTATTCTGAACTTCTCACCATCTGAGCTCAGAACCAGGGTTTATGCTGGCAGGAGTAAAGTTCAGACAGAAGTATGTCTTCATCCTGGAGAGAGTAAACAAAATCTTGTTTGGTATTTGTGATTTAAGGTCATATGGTATTATATAGAAGTAGCAGTATCATCTCTCATATGTTAGTCACTGAGTGAAAAAATGATGGATTTTATCAAAACCATCTTCTCTTAACTATTTGGAATAAAAAGCTATTTAGACCTAAACATTTAGGACAAGGAAACCTTAGAAGACCTGCAGAAGACACTCTTACCTGCTCTGTTAGACACCATATCTCTTTGATCACATGCTTTTACTTAGCCTGTGTCGCTGTCCCAGATGGCCTTTGGGTGGAAAACAGTGCCAACTGTGATTCCCAAGGCGGTTTATTTTTTTTTACTACCTTTACTGCCTTCAGTGGTGTTTCAAGATACCAACACTGATCCTGAGCCACAACTGACTTGTAATTTCTGTTATTATTACTTAGTGAGAATAAGTGCCGAGTGTAAGGAGTCACTTGGGGGATAAAGTACAAGTAAAAATTATTTTCTGGGGCCAGACAGTGTGGGGAAGAGTTTGGACTTGCCATAGCTTACTGGGCGTATCAACCAGGGTACACATCAAAGTTATGTAAGAACCATTTCATGCGGTTTTCCTTCTGAGTAACTTTCTGTTCAGTACAAGTTGATCTCATAATCTGATGTATTCCTTTCATCAGTGTAGGACTGTGTCCTTGCCAACAGGCTGCATTGTTTCTTTGCTAGAAAATAACATTAAAAACCTTTGTGCAACTTGAAGCTTAGGACAGTAGTTCAAAACATATTTTCCTTGCTTTCACAAAAGATGTAACTGAGTTACATATTCATGTGAATTTAATGTAACAGTTTCACAAAATTTTTGTTGAATAATGAAATGCTTTAAAAGCAAAAGGAGAAAAAAAAAGCAAAAAAAGTGGAGAAGCATATTCATCTTGACCAATTACAGATATTTTTTTCCCCAGTAGAAGCCAAATAGTTAGCAAATGGTGAATATTCATATCCAAACTATGTAAACAACACATACAGAACTGCTGACTATGTTGCCAAACTTTAGATAAGCAGTCATTCTTCCAAAACAAGTAAACCAAAACCTGAATATACTTTCACAGTGTAAAAAGGAAACAAATATTTGATAAAAGCCACAAGCTTCAATAGCTAAATTGCCTTACTATAATTGCTTTCCATTATGGTAAAGTACACATACCAGGTACCTCTAGAAATAATCAAAATATAGTTCCTCCCAGGGGTCTATTTTTTCCTGGCACATGGACAAGATGATACATAAAGACCAATGAGCCCTACACAACGTCTGGCATGTTCTTTGTTCATGGAACAAAAGATTAGTTGACTATCATCAGAATTATTCTTTGGAAATATGTTAGTACGACTGAGAGCTATCTTCAAACACCCCACGCTCCTGCGTGGTCCAGAAGTAATTTTCAGTTTCTGGCTCTTTGAATACAGCTGTTTTAAATTACCCTTTCTTATTCAGGAAATCGTTTACTGTTTCTGCTGTTCTCTGCTATCTAACTAGAAATTTCTTTCAAGATAACATATAATTACAAGCTGTTCACATATTGTTCCAAGTACTAGATTCCTGAGCACAAATGAAAAATTCTACTGTATAATAGATTCATAGTTCAATAGTAGTTAAAAAACAAAGCAAGCCTCTGTGCAACAACAAAAACCATAGGTTTTATGAGTGAGTGTTTAGAGAAACAATAAACCGTGTGTATGTTTAGTTTGAAGATTGATCTTAATTATTTAGAGTAAATATGTTTCAGTCTACTAAAAGGGAGCTATGACTTCCTGTTATTCTTGAATCTTAAATGATTGTGTCTGTAGAGTTGAAATTAGTAGTTGCCATCTTTATTCCTTTGAAGGGAGGAAAGAAAAGAGGGAAAAAGAAAAGAGTTAAGTCGTCTTCTTTTTGACAGACTTGGACTGCATGTTATTCAAATACACAAAGAACTTGGTGCGCATCTTATCTAGAACTTCTGAATACTAAAAAATTAGAAATATTTCTGAATTTCTTCATGTCCTGCAGTCCTAAACAAAAATTTCTTCTGTGGAGAAGTTTAGAGTTGGTAGGTAATACAGCTTCATCTTCATCACTCAAAAATGTAAAAAGCAAAACAATTTAAAGAAATGCAAGAAGGAATGAATTTATCTATGGAAAATAAGGAAATGCTGCAATAGTCCCTTCAGTATCTGCAGTACTTAAAAAGGGTGATACTCACTGAGAGTTTTTTTGCCAAGCCTTCTGCAAGAGGTTAGTTTTCAATTAAACAATAGGTGAAATTTCATTTACAATTACACTTTAGTTATACAGGATAATTTTGCATGATGACTTTTATTGGGCAGTTTTTCTCAATATTTGTATGTCATCTTTGTTATCTGGTAAGGACACTACACAGGATGGACAGCTGAGTCTGGTTCAAATGATTACTGGAAGCTGGAGGAGCCAAGAAATTGTTAACAACCCTTAAAAATTAACAGTCCTTAGCGTCTTTGCTGGCACTGTGGTTGTATCCAGTGCACCAATAAAGAATGACGGAGAATGTTATATTCTTTTACTATTTTTGAGAACAGCAATGGAGCTCCAGCCACTTTTAACACCTGTGTTTCTTTTGCTAGGTTCTTAGCCTAACTTATACCTACACAAACTATCTTTCGTATATTTACGAGACATATATGTATACATGTACGTATATGCATAATAAGAAGACAAAAATCAGAAGGTAATAAGTATATAGTTATTCTGTCACACTTGGTTTATTAATAGCTGTTTTTCATCAGAAATAGTACGGTTGTATTTTCATATTTATTACTTGAAAAATATACCCTGCTTCTATAATACAACAGCAAAACAGAATTAATATGATCCATGACTTTCAGTGTATCAAGTTTCCTGCAGTTAACACTATTGTTCTTAACATTATTTTTTATTCAGTTTTTTTCATTCTATTGCTATGTATAGTGGAAGGGGACTGTACTCCAATGATTCAAACAGGAGGCTATCTATCTTTCCGATTTTCATAATAATTTGGGTGATTCCTTCCTGAAATCATTTTGCAGTGCAAAGAAGTTAGAATACAAAAATTTTAATGTCACACCCTATCAATCAGATTTATTTGCTAAACATTCATAAAATACATAGAATTTGTACTCTGTAGGCTTTAGCTTTGCAAGACATATGTTCAGTTGGAGACAGTAGGGTATATCTCTGTTATAGTAATAGAGATTAGTATGTCATTCATTAAAATATACACAATGGTCTGTCATTAGGAACGTAGTTTTCTGAAAGATTAAAAATCTTCAGTTATTTTGGTGCAAAATTTATGCAAGGGGATTCTGTTAACGGTATCCATATTTGATATTCGCGAAATGAGCTTGGAGTTGACATCAGGATTTTAAATGCTGGCTGTGGCAGTGCCTCATTATGAGGTTCTGGGTGAATCATGTCAACTTTGTTTGTTTATTCATCTATAAAAACTGAGATAATAACATACATTTATACCCACGGGAATATTTGCAAGATTAATTACGTAGGCTGAGATCCAGCAAAGCACTTAAGTGTAAATGAGTCTTTAAGTATATGAATAGTTCTATTGAAAGCAATATTGTTCCTATTCTTGAAAATTTTCCTGGATTAGTACTTTAATGCCTGTGCAGTGTTCTGAGAAAGTGACAGATTGTAAAAATGCTTAGAAATATAAACATAAATACTAAACTTATTACTTAAGGATTGGCATCTATTTATATTTTTTCTTTTTGTTTAATCTGGGACTCTTTCTCATGGTTTCTTTCCTGATAAGCCAACAAAATAGATTTTAGTTATGCTGCTGTTTTTATTTTATAAAGGTGAGTTTGTATTTATATTCAGGTAAAAGCCAATAGAAGGAATGACTTTCAGTGAATGAACTTGTGATTATAAGAAAGTAAAATGGTCTGCTGTACCTGAACTCAGATTCATTAAGGTGTCTGAAACACTCAAAGCACTACATAATTAGCCACATCGTTCTTTGGCAGTGTCTGAATAAGCCACGGGCCTGTATCATATTTCTATTCTGTGAAATTCAGGTACGTATACACATGATATAGTTTTGTGTTTGTTTTTAAATTAGTCACTTCTGTGCTTTTGAAAAAAATAACTGCTTGATGACAGATTGCTGTCGAGGGCATCCAGGGAAACCTGCGCGGTAATTACCAGCTATGTATATATTTGCCTTGCACCTTCGCAAGATTTCTTCATGATTTATTTGAAGTTGAAGCTTAACTATGTTTCATTCTGGTCTTAGCAATGACCAAGGGTTATGCAAAATGAGGCGGGAAGCAGGAGCTAGTAATCCAGGCTTACCGTTTTGCCTTAAGGGCTAGTTGACAATTACACCTTGTGAGGTCAGCAGCATTTTTACTACATTATATCTGGTTTTCAGTGAATTTTCATTCTAGTTCATCATTATTTTATTGAATTCATTTATGTCCGTGGAGGTGACATTCATTCTTCTTTCTATGATAAAAAGTAAAACTTTCAGAGTAAAAATAGTTTATTCACTAGTTTTGTGAAGACATAATGTAAGTAACATTATTTTATATTAATTTTTAAGATTTGCTTGGGACACTGGAAGAAATTCTTCCTAACCTCCAAAAAGACGTTGGTGTTTGGATAATGACCAAAGACTCCACTTTTCCAAGTGTGCATACCCTTTTAGACAAAATAGAGACTGCATCTGAAGACCCTGTTCCAGTTAATCGACGCTCTGCCAAGAACCTCATTTCATCTGTTTTATATATATTTACTTCAGGAACAACAGGTACAGGTCTGCTAAAGAGTCTGTATTTTCCTTCAGCTTTCACCTAGAAACTTAATTTTCTGAAACTCTAATCTTTTGGTTCATCTTTTCAGAGTAGAGTATCATATTTCTTATCTAGAAGCATTATGGTAGAAAATAAGTATGTTTCTTGTCAGTGACTGTTTATATTCAGTGGTTTATGGGCTTTTCTTCTTTTTTTTCCTGCCACACTGTGGAAATACTATGAGAAGCTTTACTTCTGATTACTTCACAGATAAGGTGTTTATAGAATGTTTTGCTTTTTTGGTGGGTTTACAATGATAATAAACATTATTTTGTGATCACATACCACTGCCTAGCTAATATAGCTAACATTGTATCTAGGACTTTAAAAAACAATCTTCAAACAAGCAAATAGACATTTGGGTTTTCTTCATTAAGTCATGTTCTATACAGGTCACTGTAGAGACAGAAAATAGGATTAAGTTACTAGCCTTTTAGTTTAGAAACAGATGGCTGAATTTATTACCAGTGCTCCAGCAGCTAAGAAGCTAAGACTTTAAAAAAACTGATCACTGACATGAAAAGCAGCATGATGTTGTTAAGATAAGTAGATTGGCATTCTCATTCAGCTGAACACAACAGTTTTAGTCACAAGAAGATTTAAAATGAAGATGTGTTTTATGGCTTCATTCCCTCATACAAATAATTATTTAATTTATTTGCTTCAGGTTCTGGGAAAAATCAGGAAATAAAAATGCCAGTCTAGAGTAAAAAAATTAAGAAGGTATAAATATTGTCAAGAAGTCAGGATGTTTGTGATACTACTAATATAAATATGGTTGAGCTTGCTGGTTAAAAGTAAGGAGTTTTAGCTAAAAATATTATAGAATTCTCCAGGTAGGAGGATTTTGTTCTTAGAACTGCATTCAGAATATCTGTATGAAGTCTCAAATTTTAGTTATGTAGAATTTAAAATATTTTTGAACTCTTGTATGTATTACATTAATCTAGATTGGATTTTTTTTATGTACCATGTAACTAAAAGAATGAGGTTTGTGTAGCCTGAAGAGTATGGAATAACTAATTCTTATCTAAAGTAACTGAGCATTTTCACACTTTTTGGTAACGCAATAGCATAGTGTTGCTCCTAAAATCAATGACTGGTGAACTTAGTTAAAAGAAAGAAGTATCTTGCATGGTCTGTAGTCAGCTGTCTGTAAAGGCAGAAGGAAAAAAATCAAGACTCTGTAGAGCACTTCTTGCTCTTGTAAGTTGTTCATTGGCAACATAGGCTTATTGCCTTTTCTCTTTAGTGTGATGGGTTTTGGAATAGCTTTGAAGGGTAGCTAGTATCTCCATAGATTACGCTTCCAGTTAACAGCTCTAGTTAATTCTTCAAATGAACAGTAGCTTTGCTAGAACAGGTGAGAAAAGTTTCTGAACCATTAAACTTTTTGAAAATTTTAACAGTTCTCACTGTTCATCATCAGGACTCAGCCCGAAATTTGTGTGTGTATGTGAGAACATATATGTATGTGAGTCTGTGTGTTGCTGAACAGAAACTCAGTGCTGGACCTGAAGAAACTCATAAAGAAGAACTTAACTGGAGTGAATTTTTTTTCTGGATTTTTTTTTTTAATTCTGCATAGTCTTCATAACGTTCTAAAACAAATAGGCATACTTAGATGTACACATTTTAGGTAAGCACCCACTACATGATCTACTTCATGTAAATCCCATACCTTTCTTAAATACGTTACAGTCACAATGACTCCTGTCTGAAAAAGATCTAGTGCAATGCCTCCTTATGTTAAAGGAAGTCTGTATGTACAGTAAATGCTTTTGGCACTTTGTCAGCTCTGTATAATTCGATAGCATGCTAACCATGGAGTTTCTTCATGTTTCCACCTATTTGAATTAACTTGACATCAGATTAAATAACTAACAGACAAGGTTACAGACTGGCTTATGTATCTTTATGTGTACAGAACAAACACGCAGTACTGTATTAAATAGCCAGTTGTCTATTAACGGCCATCTAAACAGATGGCTGAAAATTTGATGATAGAAGAAAGAATTGATTCTTTTATGATTTTGGAGACCTTACACAGGAAAAAGAAATTGAGTTCTCTTTAGGAGAAGCTTTATGCATGGTTTTGTGTTTTCATTACAGGTCTTCCAAAGGCCGCAGTCATCAGTCACCTGCAGGTCCTTAAAGGAGCTGCTGGACTGTGGGCTTTTGGTGGTACTGCAGAAGACATCATTTATATTACTCTGCCTCTTTATCACAGTGCAGCATCTCTTCTTGGCATTGGTGGATGCATTGAATTGGGTAGGGCTTGTTTAATTTAATTATGTTCTTAATAGAGAATTAATTATTATAAAAATGTATAAAACACACTTAGGTTCACTGCCATTGAGGAAACTAATGCTTTGCTGAAAATGAATAGTCTTTTCAGAATAGCTTTATATTTCTGTATTTTGGGGTTGGGGGAGTGTTGTAATAGCAAAGGATCTCTTACAAGCTATCTTTGCGGTACTGAAGAAGAATTAATTATAGTCATTTGTGTCACAAATGTTTTTACTTTCTTTTATATTTAGGTAAAAAGGAATTTAAGGGCACGTGATATTTTGGCAGTGTGTGTAGCGCATTAGTATATGTACAGACTAAGCATTGCACAGTGGAATAGAACTAAAATGTATTTTGGTGAACTTAAAAAGACTGACATACATTTACAGTGAACATTCAGCTTTGTCATATATCATTAGATGGTATATAACTTTTTTTTCATTTAATTTTTGTACTGTTTTGGCATGGACAATAAGATACATATTTTGCTGAGACATTGTAGGTGTTCTCAATGACTCTTACAAAAGATTTCTTTGGAACTTGATGGCAAATATTTCCTGTTTCCTAAAGCATCAAGGAAAAGTCAGAGCAAGGGAAAGATCACTGGGTTATGGATTAATTCTGTCTGAATCTGCATCAGTGAAAACTTTATTTGTTCAAAAATGAGGTTTCAGTGATACCGAAATGATTTGTTTAATTCAGACTGACTTTGCTGGATATTTTCAGTTAAACTTTTTCTTTGTCTACCAGGTTTGAACATGTCTTCTAACAGCTTAAATACAATACAGTTCTATGAATGAGGCAGTTGTTAGTTCCTCTTATGTTCTATTTTGTAGAAATAGTGAACATAGCTAGCTAAGCTGCCATATAGAGAAAATGCTTCATTTTCTTTTCTACTGTTTCCATAAAGGTGCAACCTGTGTGTTGAAAAAGAAGTTCTCAGCTAGTCAGTTTTGGAGTGACTGCAAAAAGTACAATGTGACTGTCATCCAGTACATTGGAGAACTTTGCCGTTACCTTTGCAGCCAGCCAGTGGTAAGTGGAACCAAAATGATGGCTGTTTGTCTGTAAGTGATATGTACCTTTATTGTTCTTAATGTGGTTATGTTAAAAGGGAAATAAAACTGTACTGAACCTGTCCCTCTGCTCTTCTTTCTATGTGAGGCTCTTCAAATATTTGGTGATCTGTAGACTGTAAAAAAAAAAAAAAACAAATGGCTTGAATCAGGAAGATGTTAAAGTATTTAAAGATTTTGAGACTAAAAACTGATTCAGTATCATATGGTGAAAAAATATTATTTCACAGAGTTTCACAATGTAAGTTCAGAAAACCAGGATTGCTGTTGCCTTTAGTTCCAATTAGAAAGCTATTCCAGACAACAAAGCTAGTTTTGTTGAAGTGACATTCCTCTCTGAAACTGTGTTAGCTCTAACTTGAAAGTACTTCTTTTCCCTTGGCAGTCAGCATGTAACGGTCTATCTACATGGTATCAAGTACAAAGTATGCTGAACTTGTTGTAATTACCAAGTGTAGCTGACTCAGGTTAACTGAATTAACCCTTGATCTGGCTACTTTCTGGTATTTTTCTGTATCTACCCATTGACAATAGTGAGCCCAAGATGTTTAGACTAAGGAAAATGCCTAGCATTTGTTGGAATTAATTCAAGATGCGTACAATTACATAGACAGAACGGATATAACCTGTTGCATAGCAAACCCAACTGAGTTTCTATCCTCAGATGCTTGTGCTAAATGTGTCAAAATGAATATGAAACAAACATTCATAGTCCAGTATAAACTAAAATTCATCTTGCTAATGCTGGCAACTTCCATCCATTTATGAGCTGCAGGCTGTCCTATTGTGTTTCAGTAATAAATTCTAAATGTTAAACCATACATAATCTTACCCGGTTAAGCATTTTAATAAATGACTTTGCACAGTTACTTGTGATCATAAACAGCTTTTATTTTGAATACTAAATAAAAATAAATAACAGCTTCCAAGTACATGTATAACGTTAAGCAAAAAGAATTGTATCCTCTTTTAATTTAACAAAGTGTTTAGGAGAACACAAAGAGATTTGTGAAAACGTACAAAGTTGGATGCAATGCAACTGTCATCTCTTTGAACATTCTCCCTTTGCTTTAATCATAATTTCATTTTGTGATTTCAAAAAAATAATCAGTGGTTTATTTCCTTTTCAGTGAATTTTATTGAAATGACTCATCTCTTAGGAAATGGTGCCAATAATTAAAATTAATTTGAAAATTCTTTTCTAATCCAAGTCCTCATTTTATGATTTTCCAGAATAACCTCTACCTTAAGCAGTGTTCTGATAATTCCAAGAGAATGCAAATCAGTCTTGTTTTCCAGCAGAATAACATATTTCATTAATATCTCAAGTTGCTGACCAAAGAATGCAAAAGGTCAGTGTTCATAAGACATTGGACTTTTTTTTCTACTGAAAATTTTCAGAAGTATGTTTAAGTAATGTAGCAGTGGGTCGTAGATCCTACTATCCATGCACGCCTCCGTCAAGAGCATGTTCTTGAATTAAAGAGGGCATGGCTGATGTCCCAGTGACCACCATTGGCTGTGATGTGAAACCAGAATAGTGATACCTTTCTCTCTCTGTTTCTTTTTTTATTGGTGTTTTCTTTAATTTTTATTTGTTTGGTTTTTTAACTTTATAATAAAATAAACAAGAAGTTACAGGATAACAAAAAATCAAGTTAAAGAACATAAGGAAAATAAAAACATCTGAAGGGCCTAGCTTTTATAAATTGTGATTTTTCTTCATTATAGGCTAACGTGATTTCCCCAAAGTCATCTCCCTTCTCTCCAACACTTCCCAACTTTTGCTGTGTTTGCATCCTCAGAGTACTATAAAACCCTTCTAATGAACATAGATTAAAACCATAGCAATTATCTTAAGTGCTTCATTTGTTTCTTTAACACTAAACTTGAAATAAGTGGTATATTTCTCATAGTTGGAGGCCACAGCGTGGCCCCTTATTTCATAGATTTTACACAGAACTTTTGGCAAGTCTCTGTGGTAGCATATAGACTCTTGGCTTAGCATTCCTTATTAGTTTTGTCTTGTTTGATCTTTCTGCCTCCCACTCACATCTGCAACAGCTCTTGAAGACTCTTGCAGCAGAATTTTTCTGAAACCTGTTCTGCATCCAGTTTGTTTTAGTAACCTGTTGTTTGGAAAGAACATTTGTTACAAAAGGAAGTTGTCGCGTTGATAGATTTTGCTGGGCTCCTAAATAAGCGAGTAATCCTCATGCCTGCCCTCTTCCAAGATCTTGTTCTGCAGTCCTTTGATCATAGTGAAATTACAAGAGCCAGCATTGATGGCTAGTAGCCATAAGTAGCTACAAAATGGATCCTACTCTAAGATATTAGCATGACTACTCCACTGAAAGAGAATATTCAGCAAATTAATAACTTGGTCTTGCTGGCTGACATTGCTCAAAGTCTCTGTTAACAGTGATCTACGAAATTTCAAAACTATGGCATAGTTTTGAAATAGGCTCCCTATTTCCTCTCTAAGCAAAGGCCTCGGAAATACTTCTCTACTGATCTGTGGATATATTTTCATTAGAGGGTTGCAATACATTTATAATTTAACATTTAAAGTGTATACAAAATCTTCCTAATGCACTTGCCGATTTATTTCAAATTTGAGGTAATGAGCTATTTAAATAATACATTGAATCCTGAAGCTTTTGGAAAGATATGAATAGTAATGCAGCATCTCTTTCCTACTTTTCTGTAAAGGAGACCTGAATCCTGAAGTGGTTTACAAACAGAGACTAGAAATCAGTTTTCTTGATCATCATGTCCTGTCTTCTACTCTCATAAGCTGTCATATGTTATGACATTAATTGTGTGATTTATGATACCTTGCATGAACTTGGTAAGCTCTCTATTAAAACCAGAGTTCACTTCTACTTATACTCAAAGTGTGTTTCACAATTAATTATATCATTGCTTAGAAATTTTCTTTCAATATCTGTCCTGTTTTATGTCCATTTGGTATTGAGCCAATGTTATCCTTTGGCATCAGTAATGCTTCCTATTTCCTTGGGGTTACCTCAAGTGTATAAGACCATGTATATCAGCTTTCAGACTTCATTTTGTTAAGCTGAAGCAAGCCAATCTCTCTACTAGATCTAGTTTGGCCAAGGTTTCTTTGGATGGGATTAAGCTCTCTGAAGTGACTTTAGAAAAGATGCTTAAGGATTTATTTTATTAAAACTCTTCTCTCTTAGAACAATAGTAATTTAGAAGGAGAAAACAAGGAATTCAGAGCTACTGGAATAAGCAAACAGAGTGAACACTTATTTCCCTGCTGTTGACTCAAGTGTTGTGGGAAGGGGTGTAAGAATGGGGTTTACAAATGCTGGATAGCACTGTCTCCTACCTAGAAACAGGTTTCTTTGAAAGAAGGGAATTTGGTAGTCAGGTAAGGAAGGAAAAATGAGTCAGCAGGCACTTCTCTACAATGCAGGTTTTACTTGGCATCACATTTTACTCCCCATTAAAGTCTAGGTCAATTTATGTTCAGTACTGGAAATTGTTCTTTCTCTTATCCTTAAAATGTGGAGTGGAAATTTGTCAAGTCCCTTTCAGGTTTTCAGCATAAACATTTTATTAAATACCCCAAACCAGTAATGTGTCACAGTGACAGACAACCACATCTGTACCTTCTATTTGAATAATCTCTGTATGTCATTACAATTTTTTTTACTGGGAGGAATTTTGCAATTTATTTATTCTTGTATTAACCTGTGTTTTTTTAAAAAAATCTGCAACCACCTGCATATGTTGTAAGCAGACATCATTCTTCATCCAAGTTGTTACTGATTTACTACGGTATTAAGAGTGCCTAAAAGGAGAATTGAACACTGTTTGTACATGCAGTTAGAGAAAACGGAATTTTTAGACTAAGAATGTACTCAGCACATCTGAAATGAAGCTTAGAAATGGACCTGGGATTTGGAACCTTGTTTTTTTCCCCTCCAGACTATATCAGTTGATCTAATAAAAAATATACATTACAACAAACCTTGTCTGTGCTTTAAACTGCCATGACTACAACAACAGTATTATTTTTAAAAAGTGGGCTTAAAAGCAGATTATAGTCCCATCCATTTTGGCTACTGCCTTCTGATATTTAAATGTACTGGCATACCTCTGTTAGACTCCATCCACACAATGATTCTGTGTCTGTTTTCTCATTCTTCCCGCTAATAATGGTAAAGGTTTTCTGGTTTTCTTCCTGAGAAAGTCTTCTATAATGTTTGTAGAGTTTCTTTGGCCTTAGGAAGCATTGGTTTTCCATACCCAAAACAGCGCTGACGCCTAGTTGTGATGTCAGCTACTGGTTCTAGCGTCGTGGCTCAAGACTTCTCCGAGTCTTTAAGAGTTCTTATAACGTGACCAATTTCCTTCCTTCCAGCTTCTTTTCCTAGGCACTCATCTTTTGGGTTAAGCTAATGGAGTCACGCAGAAAAAGTCCTGATAGTGAAGCCCAGCAATCACAGTCATACTCTTACAAAGGGAAGCTTCGTATTGCTCACAGAATGCTGTGTGCAATATGGAGTGCAAGAAGTAATCTGTACATGCTTTAATTTTCTGAATTGACCTTTGGAAAGTTTTGTGTAATTTTTTTTTACTTGTGGGCTCCTGGGGCAATCACCAAAAATACAATGATCTGCTTCATATTACTGGGTGGAACACAGCTAAAAGTGGCTTTTTTCTACTGGTAGATATTTTCTGAGGAAACAGAAGTACAGCCAAAGAAAACGTTTCCTATTAGAAGACCTAAGGGAAGAAAAGTCCTGTTAGAATCTAATCCTATTAGATTAACAGGAGATTGATTAATGAAAGCATGGTGAGAGTGAGCTATACTAAATAGCAACCAACCAGTTCCTGAACTGGAAGGATGGGATGTGTCCTGTTCTTAGAATTCCTGTTCCTTTCTTACGGTGCATCTCTTCAGTATCCTTCCTGTTTTCTTTA